GAGTGACTCAAAATTTAATTTGTTCCGTTGCGATTGTGTGTTTTGATATTATTTTATTCATTATAATTTAATTGAAATATTATATATAAAAGAAATTGTGAGTGCTGTAGCACAGGTCAAAGTCCAACTCTTGCTCTCTAGCTATCGTTGGGTAGCCAAACGGTTTTAAATTATAGGCTCTTGTAACCTTTTTTTCAAACAATTCTTGACACAAAGTTGTTAAACAAGTAATTCACAAAAGTGAATTTTGACCACTTCAAGCAATAGTATTAACAGTTCCAAGCTCATAGGGTGCACGAACTTGTACACTTAAGATAGATACGCTGACTTTAAAATTTTTGAATAACTGATGTAATATTGTAGGTGTTTGTAATTATTGTGTAAACCACTGCGTCATTAATTTTATTAACGGTGCGTACTCGTTACGAGGTTAATGAAAAACCTACTCCATGTCTACATATACAAATTAATTGTAACAAGCAACAAGTGGTTTTGCATTAGGTATAATAAAACAAACAAAAAAACGACATAGATAATAAATGATAAAACAAATACAGCGTCGTGAATTTCTGTATTACAATATTTCGAGTCTTACTTTTGGATGTGGTTTGGGGAGGTCACGTAACACACAACCGAACTGGCTGAAATTCCGTAGGTATCCAAGCATTCTTTCGTCAGAACAAATGGCCTCCTCAACCACTATACGTATAGTTGGTTTACCGTTTGGTGCTTTTAACAACCGGTGCACTTGGTAACAACAAAACAGAAGGACCGACTGACCGATGTTGCCGGCGGCAAGGCCGCTAGTTTCTCGTCGAATTGGTTTCGTAACCTTCGCTGTTACATTGTCAGTAAAGTAATAAGAGATTGGCAGCAGTGAAATTGGTTCCTACGCTTTTTATTCCTCGTTTTTGTGAACTATTACAGTTAGCCAATGTACGCTGCATTTTTCAATCGACATCACTTAAACATTCGTTTCGGCTCCAAACTCGACAACACATTTCTCTATTCAAACATCTAGACTATACATATATGCACTAGTGGTGAGTTTTGAGCCGAACATATAGCGATATTCTATTAAATAATAGTAAATACCTTCAGTTGTCTTTTCGTGTATATATAATAAGGTACTATAAGTTCAATTAACGCAATTAAAAGCCTTTGAGGCGTTACTTTTTGTTCAAATACTTTGGAGAGTTCGGTTAGTTAAGGATTTCCATTTTTGATATCATCATCATCATAAGGTCGACAGTACTAAGACACGCACCTCTACCCTTTTCTATCCTGAGCTAATCTTCCCATTTCCCTAACAATTTTCTATGTGGGTAGTTGAAAAGATATATTCGATCCGTTTACCAACGTCTTACCATTACTGTGCTTAAATAGCTTTTGACTTTCTATTTTAACAGTTGGTACTAATTTTCATTGTAAACACCTGTTAACGATAATTAAAGATGGTATCAGTACTTCTCAAAGTTCTGTTTCTAGTCTTTTTAACTAACCGTGTTCCCAATTGTGATTTCCAGTTTCATTAGTCAAAATAACTCGAAAAGTAGCTGCTAGCCAATAATTCAGACAGAATATAATTCCACCATACATACGGTGTATACATCTATTGCTAATTAGTAGTTGTCCTAAATAACGCTTATGGCCAAAAAAGACCCTACCCTAATGCCACTTGACCCTTGCCTCTTAGTTTAGTGTATTTCCGACTTCCTCATTCCAGTTAATAATTCTTCAGTGTTCAAGCAGAGACCCCATTCCACACTTTCATTATCTCTTCAATCATCACGATTAATATAGGATCAACAAATCACTAATTGTAAATAACAAAGTTATTCGCCTTTTGATCTATTAATTTACAGGTCAGTGGCGGCGGACACGGTCATTGGGACAGTGGTGTTTCCTTCTGTTTATAGAAAGGGAAAGATAAGAAGACAAAAGAAACAATAATTGTGTAAGAATTTGTGTATGCGACCTGATGAAACTTGACTAATGATTACTTATGGATATTTGAATTTAATTGTTGTGCGAGATTTAGCGGCTGAAAGAAAGTTGGAATTTGATTGGTTAGGAAAACTACTGGGAATCACCGGGGATAAAGGTTTAAATGAGAATGAGAGCAAAAAAAAAGGCGGAGGCTGTGGCATAGAAATTATAACAGCGTTAATTATGTTAAAAATTAGGCCAACTGTAAATCCGCTGTTGGAATAATTAAATAAAAGATTATAATACTAAAGTGGTGAAAAATTATTTAATAAAATAGATACACCCACTTGTTGAATCAAGTATTATAAAATATTTCGTACTATTTGACATTGTGCTAGTCAATTTGAAAATATCCTCATAAAGTATCGAAAAGATAACTCTCTCCGTCCAGCAATGAAAAATAACTCCTTGGGTGTAAAACAAATTTATTAAGTTTTTATTTAGTTTAAACTTTATCTACTGCTCTTGGCTACTAAACTCTAGATAAACACTTTTCTTGTAAGTATTGCGCATAACAAGGACAAGGACGTCAAACAGTCAATATCATTTTACAATACCTTTCCTTCTCTTTCACTTTTTCTCTATCTCTCATTCTCTCGTTTTTGGTGTCGCTTGAAATAACAATGAATTTCCACGGCAGGTTGTCGCGTTTTAATCATCATCATTTGTTGATTTACTCACACAAAGAGTCTATTAAAAGCTAAACACATATAAGTGCATATATACACATACATACAAGTGGATCGCATTATCAATTTTAAAGAATAAATTTTTATGCTGATAGGGGCAGTCCATAAATAACGAAACGTAAAATTAATCAGTTTTTGTTTCGTAACGCATGCTTCATAACAGTTTTACGCTTAAATTAAGGTATTTTAATTTACAACGGTAATTTAATTCTAATGTCGTTACGTAACGCAAAACTAGAATCCCCTTCCATCTCCAACAGTACCCTAATTAAACTTTCATATATATCGAATTCACCACTCAATTTTCTTTATATTTCATATGCTCCATATTTATATTAAATGTTTCACTTTGTTTATTAATAACGTTTCATAAAGCTTCCCGAATAATTAGACGTAGGTACGTACCCTAGATAGTTTTAGGAAGACATGAATATTCACGTAGCTGCACATGTGCAAAAGTTGATCCAGTAGCGACATGTAGGTAGGAACTTCTTATTTCGATGGGTTTGGCTCATTTTAAAGAGAAATCACCTTAATTACATAGGAATGTACGTCTTTAGATGCATAAGCAGGTAATTTTTCAAAATATCAATTCCGCATAATTGAAAGCTACATTACGCTATAACACCTACGTTACCACTGTATCTGCATTTGTTGATGGAGAAAAAACAAAATACGAATGAGTGACCAGGTAGCTAAGGTATCAGGCAAAATTTCCGCGAACATTCGTTATTTAATCTATTCGAGATGAAAGAGGAGCTTTCTAAATTTTTAACGCTTCAAGAAAACATGTACAAAATGGGAAAATAAATTGTAATATTTATCATCAATCAACCAGCATCAACGTGACCGAGAGGTTGCTACTCAGCTGTGACGGAACTTTATGCCCTATTTTATTCTTCAGACACAGCTGAACTTCTTTCTATCCTGCATGGCTACAGTTAGTACGATCAAAATTGGCAAAGTCCGCAATAAATAATCTGTAAGAATGGACGTATCACCTTTCTCATTCCCACTGGAGACTGTAGTTATTTGCTACGTTTTGGACACGCCCTTGTTAAGTTAGGATATGCTTCATGAGGAGTACAGATAGTGAAGAGATAACCGAATAATAGTAAACGGTGCAGCGGTTAGAGGTTGCTTAGATACGTAAAAGATCAGGGTCGGCTTTATTACTGCCCGGTTGGAATTATATCCTTAAACAATTGTCTTTGCATTCCTAAATTCCTGAGAATGTTAAATATCCTTGAAAGTCCAAAGCTTATGCTCATACACATCAATTGGTGTGATGTTATTCCTTTTTCTTTATTAGTGTCCGCTGCAACTCCTATCTGACATCTCTTTTCTATGTTTACGATATTCCCTATAACGTCTGTCGTGAGTAAAAGTAGTCGTTCTGTCAACAACCGCTCTAGTCTAATTAGTAAGTTAAAAGAAGAAAATAAATGTGACACTTTTATTGCAGACTATGCCAATTTTAAACGTCCCAACTGTATGAACCATTCGATAAATCTATACCTACCAACTACCTATCGCACAAAAGAAACCGCATTGAAAGTTCAATCGTCTTATTGTCTCGTTTTAGTTTGCATCTACAATAATTCTGTTCAACATCAAAGTTTACACAAACAAGAACAAAAGATGAAGATACATGGTACCCTATCGGTATCATGTAGGTACATAACGCTTAAGCAGAATTATTTATGTAGGTGCACAATAAGAATTCAAATACGAATCAATTTGTAAATATATGTAAATAGGCCGCATAGTCGTGTAATCCCCGTAATCTACGTCAATGTCAACACCACTACAGGCAGTGACTTTTGTTTGTGCTACTTCAACAAGTACAGAAAGCCTTGTCACATTATTTCACTTTTCAACATTTATATTGTTTGTTAAATTGGTTACATTTATGTAAAGGGATCATGTAAGACCGTAACGAAGCGCGTAAATTTTAATTATTGCTGTATACATTTCATTAAAAGAAACTTGTTAGCACAAAAAGTGCATTATATTCGTCACGGATCGTTAACAAAACCATTACGACCATTTTAGAGATAAAATGCATCAAAATGCAAGTAGCGCATTTTAATTTCGCTAAAAAAAGAATGCGACTTTCTAAGAGCTAATAAAGTTGTTTGTTGTTCGTTGGGTTATTAATTACTACGAAAACATCAGGTTACGCGTCAAACAAAATTGCTGACGTCTAATGGACTAAGAACAAGCATTTTAACACGGGATGACAATAATTAGTCATGTAACAGACAGTTCAAATTCCTTTGTCTAAATAAAAGGAACCGATTGAGCAACTCAAAAACTTACCTAAGTTTATAAGGTCATACTGTACAGTATTATTGTCAAGTATCCAAAAAGCACGTCTTAGCGAAGAGTCAATCAGTTATGTAAACCCACTTATTCCACTTAGGTATTTATTAAAGCAACTTTATAAAATTCCACGAGCGCCCGAAATAATTAAGACACACCACCTTTACCTTCTCCTGAACAACCAGACCACTAAACGGACTAGACGTCACTGTTTCAATTATAGCCGTATAGTAAAGCAAGTAGTAGTACTAGAAACAACGGCAATCGGCAAACCACTTATTATCCGAACGCAACGGTGAGGACGACAGCTTTCATTTCTTTCCGAACAACCAAACGGAGCTACGCGACTGCGTCTGACGACACACAAACTCGAACAGTCACTGTGTTGAACCTGTACAACATGGTTTTAGTTCAACCGAAAGTAACTTTACAACGGGGATTTTTGAACTGCGCCGACGTATAAAGTCGTCTCTTTTACGATTAGATGCCAGAAAATCGCCACGGTCAAGTAGCGAAGCTTATTGTTCGTATCAAATTGTGGTTCACTGTTACTTACCGCTAGAGAGCTCGGAAATAACTTGTATTTTATTGAAGATCCGTTAGAAAACCTAAGTGAATCTTCCGTCATTGAAACCTTCTTTCGATGAGCAAATATGTACATAATACATACAAACCAAATACTTACGCACGCATTGACAGTAATACCACTTTGGCCATGTACTCATCGTGAGTCACACTTTTGAACATGTAGGCGTCCTATGCCAATTGAATCCACTGAACTCACTCAAAAGATAAATCTTTGGAAGAAAATGAAACCCGTTTAGTGACTGTTGTAAAAATGCATTAATTTTCATTCCTTGCTCGTAATAAGAGGCAGACTTGCACCAAGGATAAGTAATTAAGTTAATGTAAATGCATTCATTCCGCATTACAATGGTTTTACATCCTTCAATTCGATTCCGCGCCAACTTATTACCATTACTAATCCATTTCTTTAATGTTTAAATAATTGGTAAGGAATGCGCCGAACTGTTCTAAAGGGAGTCTTTAACAGGTAAACATTGGTTAAGTGGAAGAAAACCTATAAAAAAGCAAAAATTAAAAAGTGAGATACAATATTTGTTTTTTTACGGGTAAACTGTGGTTTTAAGAAGATTTTTGTGTTTATTTTATTTGGACATGACTTTTAATTAGGCTTTTATTATGTTGGGTTGGCTTTAGTACTACTTTGTTTGTCAATTACCAGTTAAACTGCTTTTACGATTAGAGCAGTTTCGGTACATTCTTCGCGAGGGATTTCTCTTTTCCTTTGATTGATGAATGAAACATTTAACTTTATTAGTTAAATAAAAACACTTCGTATGCTTTTAATAGATATATTTTATAAACTTATAAACGTTAACAATTTATTGTTTCAAAGAGAGTCCAATCGCCTACATTTCCCGTTTAAACGTTATAGGTTTGACTTCAAATGACGATGAGTTTTACATCAACTTAACATTAAGGAATTTTTATTTGTGATGCAATTCTCTGAGATTCCTGTGCATTTATTTTTTAGAATTAATTTTGTATGTTCACCAATGTGGGTTTTTTAAAATGTTTCTTAAAACTTAAGCATTTACTTTATATACAGTAGAACCTTGATAACGTAATAACCTCTATAAATTCATAAAATTTTGTGTTCCCTTCCACTCGGAATCCAAAACCTCTACTACTTAAAATAAAAACCCTTAAACGAATAATTTGGGCATCGCACCTCAGTAAGTAGTGAAAAGTGGTTTGAATCGGGAGTAAGTCTTCTATGTAAAAGACGAAGAATTGCTGAATTTCTTAATTTAAAAAAATGCTTGTTGTTTACATTGTTTAGACGGTGTAGAAATAAAACCATCAGTGTTAGTGGACCTATACTAAAGGAAAATACTGAAGAGTTTGCTAAGTCACTGGAAATCCGTAATTTTATAGCTTAAACTTAAACCCTTAGTAAGTAAAAACCTCAACAAGTCAAATTATTTTACGTTTCCTTTGATCTATGTTATAGTGGTTCTATTGTATTAGGAATCAGACAATCAGGACAACAAAAAGGGTAATAAAACGGCTATTTTGTTGTCCTGTTTCCTGATATCCTGTTTCTTCCTAATTGATAGTGGCCAGTTTCGCATCAAATTTTAATTTTAATTGCTTTTAATGTATACGTACTTCTGGACACGTGTTAGAAGATCTACTTCTGTTTATGTACCTACATAATTATTTAGTCGGTATATACATAATGAGAGTTATGCATTTAATTGCCGCTGATAGTTCTCGTTGGCAATTGCGCACTGTGTGCGCTACATCAGTTGCCCTTGCCGTTTACGTTGCCCTTTGCGCGCGCCAAGTTCCGCCCCTTGCCATAATTTGCTTACAACGCACCTAAAGAAGTAGTATAATTAAAAAAGGAACAGTGTTTTTAAAGTAAAAGTATGTGATTTTTGCGTGGATTTAAGAATATAGTACTTTATAAATAAAACTTTCCTGTTGGTGTGTGAAAACCAGTAGCGTAACTACGTTCAAAAAACCTGTGTACGGAAGGAAGAATGGCCCTAGGAAATACAATGTTTTTAGAAGATAGAAAAAAATTTATTCTCAACTTCTTATAAATTTTTCTTTGTAGTTTTTGTTCCGCGAATGCTGCCTGTATATTCTGAATATGAATCCTTTTGGAAACGTCTTTAGATATCAATCGTAATTATGACTAGAGAGCATAATTTATCTTGTCAATGATCAATTTTGAGAAAAACCTTACTGCTTTTGCAATACTTAGAAACAGGCAATAAATTGCGACAATTTCAAAAAAATTATTAATCGAGGTGTAATTTCTTGTCAAAATAAAAATTTAAAAATCCTTATTGGAAAATTTGGCCTAAAATTTTACTTGAAACATCATGTTCATATCAAAACACTGGCCCCCAGGGAAAATTTTATTGTCAGATGCATTTCTAAAAAAAAAGCAGAAAAAAATCATACCTATTTCTCAATCTGGTACCGTATTATGTAAGACAGTAGGCATGATATCAAAAGTTCGATTCAATAGATTGACTCTGAAATAACAATGTTGAACATTTATATATTTTTCTAGATCAACAAAACTGCTTTTCCAACATTCGAAGTTCACAAGCCTCAGAGGATTCCTATAATCGACAGTTACGCCATTGTCGAAAACTACTTCACGCGGTCTCATCTAGCTAGTGGAAAACTGATATTGAGTGTCCTAACTAATTGGAAATCCCGTAATAATGCTCATTATTATCTATGATTATTATTATTATTATTGCCGTTGTACTGAAAAGTAACTCCCGCTTACACCAAATCGCTATTTCGTAATAAAAGAGAACAAACGACGGCGTAATAATAGAATTGCAATAGATACTTACAAGGAAACAGAGTTAGTAATAATAATTGAGAAGCACGTAGTTATTGACCTTAAAAAAAAAGGTAGAAACCCACACGATTTCTTCATCAATATTTAGCCATCTGGACTTTACTTTAGGTCTTTGTATCAGTTGAGTTGATAAATTACCATGTATAAATCTTTATAAACTCCCACGTGTTCAAGCACAACGTTATTGCATCTAAGTCCTTGAATTGTATACTATAATTGTAACAACAACCGATCGTTTTCGTCTAATTCCTTAATTGTGTGTTTCGCTTCATATTCGCAAACTGCACTCAACAGTGATGTAATTTCATGGGTATTTACCTTTGTGATACTTTTAGATCTTACATGGATTAACAACAGTACTTCTTCTATTTTTTTTTTTAATAAAAATGGGTACTGCCACATTCGCATCTGAATTCAACGTAAAATTTTCATGCTAAGTAGATGTTTCCTTTGCGCTTAACCAACAAAAATGCCTTTTTTTCGATAAAAAGGACACATTGTTTAGCAAATATAGTGTAAAGAATTCCTCATGTATATATACTCCTAGACAAAAATTTTCAGTCTCTCTCCAGTCTCTCAGTCTTTCAGCGTCTCTGAAAGCGTATCTCACAGTCTCTCAGTTGTTGCCTAGGTGCTTTTATGGATCTCTCAGTCTCTGTATGAGAGACTCGAACGATAAAATTGTTAATTCAGAGATTCGAGTCTCTCACAGAGAGACTGAATGAATAAAACTGAAAAATTGAGAGACTCGAGTCTCTCGTAGAAAGATTGGGATCTCTGAAATATGTTGAACTTGAAAATTTTAACCATGTCTATCGAGACACCACTTATTGAGAGATTCAAGTCTCTCGTTCAGAGATTGAATACGAAATTAGGATCTCTCTATGAGCGACTCGAGTCTGTCGTTCAGAGACGCTAAACAGTTTTTTTGACAGTCTCTCTCAGTGACACCAGAGAGACCCGATGAGAGACGGAGACTCGAGTCTCGTTTTCAGAGACTCTGAGAGACTGAACATTTTTATCTCGGGACGCTATAGTCAAAAGTCGATATGTAGCCCATTCATTGAATAATTGGTCCATCCTAGGTTTGACACAAAGCCTTTCGGCAAACCTCGAAATAGATTCGGTTTTTGCCTGATCGAAAATTTTAAACAGAAATTAACGTTAACCCTAACTTACTAACTCAATCTAAAGTAGGTTTCCACGTTTGATTGTTAATCCTTCTATTAAACGATAAAATCAATCATTAGGCAAAACGTTGAAACATGTAACTGACTTGAATTTAATCTGTCTTCTTGGCAGATCTGAAAATTGACTAGCCAAGCCTAGGAGCAACGAAGCTTCGATCTTTGACTATAAGCTACAACTTTAAAACCCTTCTATTGGCTTATGTAATAGAAATTAATAAATAGAATATTAAAATCGATGAAGTCTATCTTAAAAAGCCCGTAGTGTCATCCGTAGTTACAGTTTCTAACGAACCACAAGTTTGTATGTGATATGTGATAGAAATTTGGGTTTTAGTGTTTCATTTATATATACTTAACAGTTCGTTTTGAAAATTAGCCTGTAGAGATAGATTGCAGGCAGACAGAAAACTATTTAAGGGTCGCATACTTCTTAATAGCATATAAATAATTATATTATGAATTAAAATAAAGGCAATTATGTACTTCGATATTACACAGCGAAATGTCTTCTGCGTTACTGTTCAGTCAACCTTGTAAAGGTTTTTCCAAAAAAAAAAGAATGTAAAATTTTCCTCGACAAATCAAGGAAATAATTTTTTACCGTTGTTGATGTAAAAGCCTCAGATAAATGAAGCTTTTAAATCCTCTCCATGAAAAGATCAATAGTCATTTACTGGAACGGATTACTTTAGTCGGAGTTAATTAATGAATTCTGTTCAATAAAATACAATGGAAATAATATGCTATTGGCTAATTAACACAGACATTTACTTCACTTATTA